GTGTGATAATTATTCACAATCATATTCAACACTTCTAAAGCTTTTAGTAACTTATATGAAGTATTCCCATACTACGTGGTATCTTTAAACTATTGTCCAGAGCGATCCCTCACTGTTAATAAAATTGGGCACATATTTTAATTATTTATCAAAGTATTTAGGCATACTTAAGATTAATCCGCTAATCAGTTTTCTCTGCCAATTAACTTGCCTGTTTGGGCATTTCATTTAAATGAAGTCATGCAGTGTGTCATCTTTTGGAACTTCTCTCACTTACATTGTAACATGTATCAGGACTTCTCTGACTGAATAATATTGCATCCGCTGCTTTGAAGTTTGTACAGACTTCTTTGTATGGGCATGTGTTTTCATTTCTCTTGATGTCTAACCAGGAACAGAATTTCCTGGGTTATATGGTAAGCTCTGCTTTTTTTAAAGCTACAAAATTCTGGCTTATATCTAACTGAAAGAAAACATAGTAAAAATATCAACAAAGAACTGGATTTGGATTTCATGAGAAAATGCTTCATTTTTTTATAAAATAATGACAAAGAGAAATTGGAAAGCATTAAATTCTTCTAATCATTGAGAAATGCAAAAACCAAAATAAAGAACTCAGTATACGTGGTGGGAGTGGATTTCTCATAGCTGCAGAGAGAAGTTCTGAACTGAATGAAGAAATTTCCTGTAATTCAGTATGAAGAGTTAAAGAGAAAGAAAATATTAAGAAGTAGATTGTTTTACAAGATCTAGGATTGTTTAACAAAACCTAACAGCCCACTTGAAATTGGCATTCCAGAAGAAAATGATGCCTCCATTCATGAAAATGACTATGAGGTGGAGGAATTATTTGAAGTGATAATGGCTGGATTTTCCATGGTTAGTGAAGGTTTGTTATCTGCAGGCATACTAAGTCAAAACTTAAATACTTAAAAAAATAATAATAGTGTTTACATATGTATCATAGCAAAAGAAGACATCAATAAGACTAATTGATTATCTTCAAAATAGTGCTGAACAACAACAGATTAAATCTGGAGTCATTAAAGTAGCACCTTCATCTCCTATACTTTAACTCCTCTATTTGGAGAAAAAAAATGTCAGGAAAGAAGGTTAATAAATCTGTAAACAATCTTTGCAATGAAACCCTGTATGCTTTGACAGAAGTTACCAAGACCAAATAGGGTTGCCCTCATAAAAAAGTAGTGGCCATTGGGTGACCACTGCAGGCTTCATATGAACAATAACCATTTTTTTCCAGCAGTAAAAAGCCTAAGGAGATGTTCTTAATAAATTTTGTTGTGTAAAAGATAAAAAGGCAAAGTTTCTAGGGTTTGTTTGCTTGCTTGTTTTTTACCTGAGAGGAAAAACAAAGAACAGACAGATCAAGAGTTAGAACTTAATGTTTGTTTGTTTGCCTTTTGTTTTTGTTTTGGTTTGTTTTGTTTTGTTTTTGTGAGACAGGGCGTCTCTGTAGTTTTGGAGCCTGTCCTGGAACTAGCTCTTGTAGACCAGGCTGGCATTGAACTCAGAGATCCGCCTGCCTCTGCCTCCAAGTGCTGGGATTAAAGGTGCACCACCACTGCCCAACTTGTTTGCCTTTTTGAACTGTGCCTTAGTATGTAGTCATAGCTGACTTGAAATTTAGTATCTGCCCAAGACTGGCCTTGAGATTAAATGCATGAGCTACCTTGATACGACTTTTGAAGATACTCATTTTTTCCTAAATTTTTATGTATTCAAAATAAGCTTTATTAAAAGAAAGCTGTAAAATTATGTTTTCTCTGAAAACAAGCTGTGCCTGATCACTTAGTGTACAGACCCTGGAAAAAAAGACCCCCAAAATGGCTGTTATAGAGGGATATGGTAGGGAAGAAGGGTTACTGTTGTTTTTACAATTCTTGCAGTGAAACCTATCATCACAAAACTAAGACCTTAAAATTCAAAGAAGACAAAGCCTGAGCACCACCTGCTTCTCACTAAGGCAGATATGTATAGGATCATCAAAGAACTGGGGAAGAAATGTGAAGACATGCCAAAATTAATACACAGTAAATGTCCCTTCAGTGGTTAAATGATAGCACATCACAAGCCTCCATCTGTTCTCACTTTTGTTTGTTGAGTAATGCAGTTGTTGAACTGCTTAAGGAATACAGCCGAGTGGAAAGTAGACTGAACATGGGAAAAAGTAGATGCTAGCCCTGGTTCTGCTATCCACCAGCACCATGGTGAGCTAGAGCCATGGACACTGGTGAGAGCATTGAAGCTGGCTGACCTCTTTGTGCCTTGACTGGCCTTATTAATAGATTGCAACATTCCACTTGTTAGTACCAGAGACAGGGAAGAAACTTTCACTGCTATGCTGTTTGGTAATGATAAAGAGAGAAAAGGTCTTTTTATGGTAGTTGGGTTCTCAAAACCACTCTCCATGCTTGGTGATAAGGAGAAGAGTTGGCTGTCAAAGCTGTATTAGCTTACTATCTACAAAGCTGATACAGCCTCTTAAATTCCCTCCTTGTGCCAGGAACCCATCTGAAATGAAGGCTTGCAGAGCTGGAGATGCAACAGCACTTTACTTCCTCATAAGAACCAATAGGGTTAAACCTCCTTTCATAAAATTAAAAATTGCATTTAATTTTAAAGTAGAGTTGTGTTGTGTTGCACTGTATATTTAAAAATACTATGAGCTACATACTTTGAGGTTGCTATTTGTAGGAAACAATGATAAACAATTCAGTCTACAAAGAAGAACAAGGCTAATTGACGTGTGTGTGTTTGTGTGTGTGTATTCGTGCGTGCTCAGAAAACTGGAGGTTAAAGTTGATATCTTTCTGGGTTGCTTCTCTGGCTTACTTTTTGAGAGAGTCTCTTATTGAGCCTTGTAAGCCCTAGGCATCTTCCTGTCTCTGCTGCCTCACGTCTGATGTTGGAGGAATGGACCACTACACTCAACATTTTCAAGGGAGTAATGGAGATTGAGTACATCCTCACTTTACCAACTGAGCCATTTCCCCAGCCTGGAATTACAAACTGGTTAAAATTCATGAAAACTGGGAAAAGTACCCAGAGATTTAAAGTTAAATGATCAATTTCATGATGAGATTTATGTATAGATTTATGTATTCTTTTTTTTTTTAGAGCTGTGTAGATTTTAAGGGTTCAATGTGTTCCATTCTTAGTGTTAATATTTTCACTACTGATAGCCACTACTTTAGAAATTTGGCAGGTAGAACTTGGTACCATGGATAGTGAGGATAATTGGACAGATAATAGGACGTTTTTTCGCCTAAATACAGATAAATGTACTTTTGATATAGTTAGACTGTGAGTCTATAGAGCTAAAGGTCATTGGGGGAATAAATGTAGTGTTTGTAACATGCTTATGTTTAATGATTGTAATAAGTTTCAAGAGTTGTGTGTAGAATTCCTAACATATGAAAAGCATTTGGAGAGGCTAGCATGTCTGGCTTAAAAATTTTAGTATGTAAAGATAAGCCATACTGAGTAAGGTAAAATTTCAAAATCATTTGAAGAAACTTAAGAATAAGTTCTCAAATCATAATGTTTGTGGATACATTATATTTCCAGGAAAAACTGTATTAAAATAAATAATCATTGCAAGTCAAGTTTTGCAGGGTACTGAGATCATTGGTATACATCTAAGTTAATCACTTGCTGGTGACATGCCTGGCACAGCTCTTTTCTGCTCCAATAATGACAGATATACTCAGGACATTTTACTCTAGTGCTGTTTTTGGTCATGCTAGAAACTCAGCATTGTTCAAAACTGTCTTGGGTGGTCAATAGTTCTGCCTTAAACTGAGTAAGTACATCAGAATTTTAAAATGGAATTAAGCATTCTAAAGGTAAATTGATATTCTATTATCTTCAAGCCCTTAGGGTTTTCATTCTTTTAAAAATCAGATAAATTAGATCTTATTTCATGATGACTTTTTCTTAAAAGAGAAATGAGAAAATTAACCATCCATTATATTTTTACTTCAGAGTAAGAAAAAAATTAATGTGGTCCAGAAGAATACTTCATAGACACTCAAGAAAGTTATCTAATAAATCAACTTTAGATTAAAGCAAACTGAAGGAACTCTATAGAGAAAAGGCTAGCAAAGGAGAAAAGGGATTATTCTGAGCAACTTTTCTTTTTCTTTTTTTTTTTTTTAAATATTTATTTATTTATTTATTTATTTATTATGTATACAATATTCTGTCTGTGTGTATGCCTGAAGGCCAGAAGAGGGCGCCAGACCTCTTTACAGATGGTTGTGAGCCACCATGTGGTTGCTGGGAATTGAACTCAGGACCTTTGGAAGAGCAGGCAATGCTCTTAACCACTGAGCCATCTCTCCAGCCCCCTGAGCAACTTTTCACTACAGATTTTTAATGTATATAAAGTCACTGAGAATGTTGACATTCATCATACATAGCAAAGATACATTGTTGATAAATTAACATTGGTTTGAGGTTTTTATATTTTAAGAATATGGGGAAATGATAATATAGAAGAGAACAAATTAGTAAATTATTGGCGTTCTGGGCTAACTCCTAATGAATAGGATAAATCATGATGTATCGATAGAAAGGAATGCCAGTAGACAAATTGGCAGATATGACCTGTGCTTAGAGATATGTAATTTTTCAACACATCATTTTGATAGATACTTGTTACATTCTTATTATTTTACTAACCATATTCTAGCTGTGTCCCAGAAAATGAAGTGATTTTAGCATCCTCTAAGCACTTGAAAAAGGAGGAGTCCAAACAAGAAAATACTCCATTTTTCTTACTGTGCATTGGGGGAGTTCAGTTTGCTCCTATCTTAGGCTTATGTACTTGAAGAATGTAGTATACTTGTAGCCATTTGATACATTCAGTGGCTCTTAAATAATGCCGTTTATTCGACCTGTGCTCTCTTAACACATTTTACACAAAAACTCATGGAAAGTTAGTATTCTTTTTTGTGAATTTTCCAATTGTATTTCAGACTTTAAGAAAGAAAGGCCTTAATGGTTGTGAGAGCCCTGATGCTGACGATTACTTTGAGCACAGTCCACTCTCGGAGGACAGATTCAGCAAACTAAATGAAGATAGTGATTTTATTTTCAAACGAGGCCCTGTAAGTACTTTCACTTTACCGTTGCCTTTTATTTGTTGATCCTTTTTGTTAACTTCATATTTAGGCTCTGAACAAGAAGGAACACAGAGGCTGCGACAGCCCAGACCCTGATACTTCCTATGTGCTAACTCCACATACAGAAGAAAAATATAAAAAAATTAATGAGGAATTTGATAATATGATGCGGAATCATAAAATCGCAGTGAGTACTAAAGTATGGTTTGTGCTTTTATCATGTGCATGAAGAAATTGACCACACATCCTACCTCATTTTTAACAGAGGATTGGTGTCAATAAGTATAAGAGGAAAGAAGGTGTTTATTAACTCTTTTTGGTTTTACAGAAATTTGAAATGCCAAAATCTTGTAGTAATAAATGTTGAGTATCTTAAATGTAGAAATGAAGAGAAAATGTCCTAATTCCGGTTCTGCCACTAATTGTCCTTTATATCTTTACATAAGCTATCCATATATCCTGAATTATAGTTGTTTGATCTATGAAGTAAATGAGTTGGCTCACATAATTTTAAGATTGTTCTAGTTTTAAAATTTCCTTGATTTTAGTATAAAGTAAGGCATTTATAGAAGGCATTCCTGTCTTTCCCATATACATACATATATATATATATATATGTATATACGCATATAGTTGATCCTAAGAATGCCAAGTGTTAGTTTAGTTTAGCTTGTTGTAAATTTTCATGCCTCTAAATCATCTTTACCTATTTTATATAATTATCTTTATTTTAGAAGAACTGAGCTGACTGTTGAGCTCTTTATACTATGACCCAAAGCACTGACCCAGCAAGAACATTACTATATTACTGCTTTTTTCTTATACTCTTCAGCAGTAAAGAAGAGGACTAGATTTTCTTTAAGAACGCTCTTATCCTTAAACTATCACATAACAAATAGTACTGTAACTTTCTGTGCACACTTATCTAACCCTGAGAAATAGTCCATTTTGAGCTTACTGGGCTTTGTGTACCTGGCTGAAAATACTGAAAGATCTCACTGGACTGTCCAGTGAGATCCACCTAGGTCCATTGCTGTAGATCTGCTCTCCAATTCTGTGTATGTAGATATAGCTGTTGTGGAACAGGCATATTCCAGTGCTGCCATGTTGGTTCTGTTTTTTTTTTTTTCATTGTCATAGTTGAATCTCTTGAATTATGCCCTGAAGAATGATATGCATTATATGTCATTTCTTCAGAGTAGTTCTGTAGGAAGAATCACATGAAAATAGCTTTAAACCAATTTTTAAGCTAATACCATTATTTTTAAAAACAGAACAGTAGCAAATAAAATTTCTCTGATCTCACAGGGATGTTGTTCCCAGAGTTAAACTTTAAGCTTTAAGAATATAATAAAATTGCTTCATAGTTTGTTTCTTGACTTTCCACCCACAACTTTTAGTTAAGGAGAAGCCTGCTGTCTACTATGCTCAACAAATGTATTAAAATTGGTCTCTGGAGGAAATGCCAGAGGAAACTAGGAAATGCCCTTTCAGAGAAAGCATGAAATATTTTAAAAAGAAGATAGCTTTTATAATGTTTATAATTTAATCTTTATACAATTTTAAAGATACCAAGACTCTATTCTAACTTGGCAGTAGTTAATCTTATTGTGTAGGTGATTTCCTTTTTATATTTTATTACATAGAAATACATTGTGTTCTGTGTATAATTACTTGACTTTTCTAGTTTAAAAAATGTCTGTCAGTCAAATCATACTGGACTTATTCATAATATCCTAAAATTGATGTATTAAGTTAATAATGTATATACACTTTCCTCTTTGGTTATGTTTGGGTTCCCCCAATACCAATGTAATGTTAAATTAGTTTGCACTGGAGTTCTAATTAATGCTTACTTGGTACCTGATAAATTTTGTAATGTCTAAATTCAACAATATTATTTTAATTTCAGGTTTTAACTTTTAATTTCATCTCTTTGAATATTTGAAATATACTGTATAGTTACATTATTATATATGTATCAATGTAAAATTGAAAATTAAAAAGTTCATGTCAGGTATATTCATGTTCAAGTATAATTCTAGAGAATATAGCTTAACACTGCAGATGAAGAAGCTGTCCCCATACTCTGCTTTTAATAATGAGAGTTATTTAGTTAAAGTCATTTAATGTTGATAAAATGAAACCAATAGTTTTCTCTTGTTCTTTACAGCCTGGTTTGCCACCTCAGAACTTCTCAATGTCTGTCACAGTCCCTGTGACCAGCCCTAATGCTTTGTCCTACACTAACCCAGGGAGTTCACTTGTGTCACCGTCTTTGGCAGCCAGCTCAACATTAGCAGATTCAAGTATGCTGTCTCCACCCCCAGCTACGTTACATAGAAATGTATCCCCTGGAGCTCCGCAGAGACCACCAAGTACTGGCAGTGCAAGTATGTTGTGAAGTATTCTTCTGTTCATTCTTTGAAAAAGAGGATGAGAAATGAATTGTTGACGGAGAAAGTTTATTCTCCTTAGTCTTAACTTTATTGTCAGGCTGGTGTGGTGGCGGACGCCTTTAATCCCAGCATTTGGGAGGCAGAGGCAGAGGCAGCCAGATCTCTGTGAGTTTGATAACAGCCACCAGGTCTACATAGTGAGTTCCAGGACAGCCAGGGCTATATAGAGAGACCCTATCTTTTTTTTTTTTCATTCAAAAATTTCCACTTCCTCCCCTTCTGGCATTCCCCCCCCCCCCCCTCCCCCCCCCCCCCCCCCCCCCCCAGTCTTAAGAGAGGGCAGGGAACCCTGCCCTGTGGGGAGTCCAAGGCCCTCTCCCCTCCATTCAGGTCTAGGAAGGTGTGCATCCAAATAGACTAGGGTCCCAAAAAGCCAGTACATGCAGTAGAGACAAGTCCCAGTGCCATTATCAATGGCTTCTCAGTCAGCCCCCATCGTCAGCCACATTCAGAGATTCCGGTTTGATCACAGGCTCATTCAGTTCCAGTCCAGCTGGATTTGGTGAGCTCCCATTAGATCAGGCACACTGGAGAGACCCTGTCTTACAAAATAAAAATATGCAAACAAAAAACCTACTTTATTGTCTGGATGAACAAGAATCACTGCTCCATAAGTTCATCTTAAGTATTTTTTTTAACATCTGTGGGAAAAACATTGTTGGGCAAAGTAAAATAGTATGGATAATGTGCTGTTTATAATTTTTCCTTATCATGGGAAAGCCATACTGTGACAGGCAGAGAATTTAACTTAAATGTTGGAAGCAAAGATTTAAAGTTGAATGTGAACCTCACATTAGAAATAAGGAGTGAGCATATTCTGTGCATCTATTCCTACTGAGTTAGTTCAGTAGCTCACCAGCAGTTCAACAGTGCATTTGCCACTTTAGTCTGTGTAGTTTAGTACTGCCTTCCCCTGAGTCCTAGGCTTGATAGTGCTCTATGGGGACTTTCCTCATTCTTGTCAGTATTGGCTAGTTAATAGTGATGCACAGGATGGCGGGTATTTCAAAAGCTTAGTATGTAAATTCATTTATGTGTATACTATACATAGACCCCCCCCACAGCACATGTGTCGTTAAACATGTTACATATATATATATTGTATGTGAATTATATCAATTATACATTAGTGCAAACTTTAGACTGAGCTAGTTTTGTATTGACTTGAGTTTTAGGAATAGAATGTGGGTTATAGTGAGATGACCTCATTTGACTGTGAAATAAAGAAAGCCAATTTTTATTCATTCTTTCTTTTCTCTGTAACATTGTTAGGTGGGATGTTGAGTACTACAGACCTCGCAGTACCAAATGGAGCTGGAAATAGTCCAGTGGGTGAGTGAATTCCTATTGCTTAACTTTGCAGATGTCTGTTTGATCTGAGCTACTACTAAGTATTGCCCTAAAACAAGGCCTTCTATCTCTGAGGGACAGTTTAATTATCAATCTTAGCAGTTTCTACAACAGCCCTGTTCATCACTTAAACATTAACTTAGTTCATTCATTCATTCATTCATCCATCCATTCATTCATTCATTATGTATTAAGTACTTCCTCTATACCAGACATTATTCTTTCCTGTTTATGCACATGCACACACACACACACACACACATCATATTCTTGCCCACATTCCCCTTATTTCCTGACACTCCTCTATGCTCACATACCCTCCTTCTACCTTATTGTTCTCTTCTTTTTTTTTTTTAATTTTCCACTGAGTTCCATTAGTGCTGTCTGCTTACCAGTGAGTGTGAGACCATCCACCAGAGCATAAACACCATGCCAGCAAACTACAACCCTAAGGAAAAATGACACACACACACACACACCCATAACTGTTAACTGCAAATACCTCCTCAGCTAGAGGAGGAGTCCTTCCCTCATCCGTGGTAGAATGTTGAAAGGCTTGATCTTGGCAGGTATTCATAGCTTCAGTTAGCTGGTGAGAGTGATGGCCATGTCACATCTGGAAGACCGCATTTCTCAGCTCTCCTCCCTGTCCTTTGGTTCTTACATTCTTTCCACCCCTTCTTGTGTGATGTTCCTGAGCCTTGGTGGGGAGGGTGTAATAAATATCCCATTAGGGGTGAGGACTCAGCAGTCACTTATTCTCAGCACTTTCATTAGTTATGAGTCTCTGCATTGGCTGCTGCCCACTGCAGAAACAGCGTCTCCATCTAAGACTGTGAAAGCAGCATTAATCTATGGGTGCAAACACATATTTAGAAATCAGTTTGACAGCTGCCTTTCTGTAACTTCTGTCACCACTAGAGTTAAATCATTGGGAAAGTACTTTATTTTAAAACAGCATTAAATGTTTTCAGAAATTGGAGTACTAAGAAATGTGTACATACTATTCAAGTTAGAGATCCAAGTGATTCTCTTGGGGATCTGCTTCGGTGATCATACGTAGAATATTCATGGTTTGTCATAGTTACAGCCAAATAGACTCTTTCACTTTGGGATTATTCCCAATGTGTGTGGAGTGATTAAATCCAAAGCCTCACACATGCTAAAAAACACTGTTGAGTATCTATATTCCCAATATACTATGCACAACAGGTCCTAAACAATAGATTAGCACCATCTAGTTAAAAAATAAAACAAAAAAATGGTATGATACAAATATTTTTTTTTGCATATTTCTGGTTCACTTGACTTAGGCTCCAGCCTTCTGAGTCTTGATGGTTTAAAGATATATCATAATGGAGCTGGAGAGATGACTCAACCGTTAAGAGCACTTGTTGTTTTCTTGGTTCAGGTCCTAGCACCCATATGGAGGCTTACAACTCCAGTTCCACAGGATCTAATGCCTTTTGACTATGCTGGTTACCAGGCATTCATGTAGTCACATACTTACATGTAGGCAAAACACTTACATGCCTAAAATAAATAATTCTAAGATGTATGTCTTTCCAGCCCTGGCATGTGGTAAAGATAATCATTTTGATATTGTGTCTGCACTGCATTAAATGATATTTTAGTGGTTTAAAAAACTGCTATGGGGCCAGGCGGTGGTGATGCATTCTTTTAATCCCAGCGCTTGGGAGACAGAGGCAGGCAGCCTGGTCTACAAGAACTAGTTCCATAACAGGCTTCAAAGCTACAGAGAAACCCTGTCTCAAAAAACAGACAAAACTGCCATGGGGACTTAAGAGATCAAATATAGGAAATATAGGAAGGTCTTGCTATCAGTTATTTATTAGTACGCTGCACTTAGTGCATGTTTGTATTCAAATATGTATGGTTTATTTAAATACAACTCAGTTTTATTGTCTCAATCCAGTGTACTCTTTTCATGTACACTTATACTTCTCCTCCTGACACTAGTAAGACAGTATGTTTAAAGTCCATCAAGATTTGAGAGAGCCTTGTATACTCATATTACACTGGCCTGAGACTGCAGAAGGCTAGAATCTAGGTAAAGTGAACCAGAAATAAACAGTCCGTAACTACACTATTTGCATCATACTTTTTTTTTTTTTTTAGTAATTCAGTAATATCGATCTATTGTTTGGGACCTGTTGTGCATAGTAGTTTGGGAATATAGGTATTCAGTAATGTTTGTTTAGCATGTATGAAGCCTTGAATTAAACATTGCACACACAGTGTTTTAGTCAGAGTTAATACCTTGGTGTGAGTGTGGGGCATACCTGTAACTGTAGTACCCCAGAGGTCATGGGACAAGAACCCTGTATTCTAGACCAGCCTGATCCATGCAGCAAACTGTAGTAAACCTGAAATTCAAATTAAAGTGCCAAGAATACATATGACTTTAATTTGCTGATTCCCATCTGATATTCCCTTTCATTGGGACTTTTAAAAGGTGTGAAGCTGATGGTCTTCATATATGCTTTTGATACCTTGTAAATTAGTCTTGATATAAAGGTTTGAAAGATTTCAGTGGTTATAAAATGTCTTATGCCTGTAAATGGCTAATCCCATTTCTGAGGCTTTTTCTAAGGAAGTAAGCTAGGGGCTGGAGGGGTGTCTTAACAGTTAAGAGCATTGATTGCTCTTGCACAGGACCTAGACTCAGTTCCCAGTATCCACATGGAGGCTCATGCCCATCCATAACTCCATTGACTCCATTTCCAAAGGATCTGATGCCTTCTTTTGGCTTCTGCAGGTTACCAGGCACTCATATGGTACATAGACATTTATGAAGGCAAAACACTTATTCACAAAAAGATAAATGAATGTTTAAAAGAGGAAGTAAAATAGAATATATGATAACTCAGTTGTAATGAATAATAGACTGAAGTCAGCAGAGTCAGCAATGTGAAACGTAGGTAAATTTCAAGGGAGTTTTTTTTAGTTGTGATTTAAATGTATATAGAAAATAAACATATAGAGAAAATGTAAGGAACCCCAAACTGATTCTAATAGGGTGATAAAATAATAATGTATTTCCCTTTTCTTTTACTTTTTATGGGACATGATAGTGATGATGTCCCTAAAGTCATAAAGGTTTTATTGTAGCAAATTGATTTTCTGGTTGTTTTTCCTGTGTTTTGATTTTTTTTTCCACCTGTCACTATTGCAAACTTAAACTGACAGTTGTACATACTATAATTTGTAAAGCTCTGTCATGGTGACAGTCTATGTGATTGACTACATGCGTTTCACTGCTAAGAATATAAAATCAGCTTATACTGTAGCTCAGATGTTTGTTTAACCATTGGCCTATATTATAATGTCAAGAATGATAAAATGATATATCTAGTACCTTCACTTAAAAAAATTTTTGTGTGGGGTGGAAATAGGGTGTGTATGTGTGTATGTTTTGTGTGTAGGTACATGTAGGTAGTGGGTACGCACATGGTACAGAGGCCAGAAAATGGGCATCCAGTTTCTTCCTGTCACTCTTCCACGTTGTTCATTCAAAACAGGGTCTCTCACTGAACCCAGAGTTTATTGGTTAGCTAGACTGACTGGCCAGCAAAGTGGGAATCCACATCTATTGTATGCCCTACTGCCTGCTCCCATGCTAGGGCTACAGGTAGTTGCCTTGTCACCCCATGTCAGGCCTTTTCTATGTGAGTGCTGGGAATCTAAGCGCACCATACTTCACCACAGCAGCTTTGCTGAGTACCAGCTCCCCATCTCCCCATCTCCCCAGCTCGCAATGTCTCCCTTTAGAAGCATGTTGAGAAAGACAAAAATATATTGGACTGGAAATAGAATAGCTCGAGAACCTTCTGTAATTGTTAAATAAAAATGGGTTGGGGGTTGCATGGTGCTTGGGCAGCAGCAGCTAAAAAGATGGATGCGGAAAAGATGTTTCAAAGGTGAATGAATTAAATTTCATTGGATGGATAGTTTTATGAAGCTGGCATAGGAATAATGAAGGGTGACATTGAGTACAGGTGTTTAAAACATTGTCTTGAGATGATAATGCCAATGGAAAAAGTCGTCCCTGGCAGTTGAATTTGGACTAAAAATTACGGGAAATGAAGCAGAAATTTGTAACTCCCATTGAAGCCTTATGTGCTTCAGTCATCATATTGCATGAGAAATTATGATTCTCTGGCAGAGGAGAAAGCTGTGGTTTTAGTGCTGTCCACCCTGGACAAATTGAGAAAAAGAATATTTTTTGGAAAGTAGGGCACAAACATTGATTGTTTTAATTAAATATTTTTAATAGGATTCATATTTCCTCTAGGTGAGAATTGTTATCAAACTAAGTAAATGTGTCATCGATTATTTTAGAAATCATGGTCTTTTTGTAGTTTAAGAAATTCTGGGGCTGGAGAGATGGCTCAGTGGTTAAGAGCACTTCTAAAGGTTCTGAGTTCAATTCCCAGTAACCACATGGTGGCTCACAACCATCTGTAATGATATCTGGTGCCCTCTTCTGGCCTGAAGGCATGCTTGCAGGCAGAATACTGTATACATACATAACAATAAAGAAAACATTTTTAAAAAAAAGAAAGAAATTTTGTTTTGTTTTTTTGAGACAGAGTTTCTCTGTGTAGCTTTGGAGCCTGTTCTAGCACTAGCTCTATAGCCCAGGCTGCCCTCGAACTCACAGAGATCTGCCTGCCTCTGCCTCCCGAGTGCTGGGATTTTTTTTTTTTTTTTTGGTTTTTCGAGACAGGATTTCTCTGTGGTTTGCTGGAATTAAAGGTGTGAGCTACAGCTTAAGCTATAGCCCAGCTATAGTTTAAGAAATTTTTATTCTTCACATAAGTGATATTTGAAAATTTTTTACTAGCATTTTTTTGCATATTGATGGAATAATCTACTGAACATGCCGGTTTTATTGTTTGTCGCTGTGGGTTTATTATGTAGATTAGGCTGGCCTCAAACTCATGTTGATCTGCCTCTTC